TATGCATTTTGTATAGCTTTATTCTCCTAAAATCTCAGGAGGACAGCACATGCTGTCAAGGATTATGTAGTGATATGATTCTATTGAGGAAATGTGTTTTAGACATTTGTACTCAGCAAAAAAGCTAATCTTAAGGTAGAAAAGTTCATCTGATTACTAAATTGTCTTTCAGTCCTTTAGAAACCAGTCTCTTATAAGACAAAATTTAATCTCAAACATAATGATAACTGCATCTTTATGTATTAAACACTTGTGCATACAGAGAGTTTAAGGACTGGCTCTTAAATAGCAACACTTGAGTATTTTTGAAACTTCTCTTTTAATACTTGTCAAAGAAAAGAGTGGTAAGTAGGTAATATCCAATTGGAAAATAACAGATGAAACATTGGATAGCACATACACTAAAAAGTACATGCATTAACATGATTATTTTATAAATAAGAGAAAGCTATTTTTAAAATTTGGTTCATTTTATTATGAAAATAGAAGTGCTTTCTTGAAGGGGCTTCTCAGCCTTGAGAGTATCTTAATTTTTTTAAAATGCTTTATCACTAAACTAGAGTTCTGTAATATATAGCAAAATCCTGACAAGGATCAAATGTTAACTGTTAAAGTTCATTGTATCAAGGTGCTATTACATGGAAAGCAGTTTTGTTTGTCTTTTAAATTCTGTGTTGGAAATACTTATATTTTAATCTTTCAACACATGAAATCTCAAACTGATTAAATCTTTCTCTATGTATCAAATAAAGAGTGATTGGAGTATGAAAGGGGGAATATTTTTAAGTAAGTATGTGTTTCCCCTTTTAGGGAGGAAAAAAACCCTCATAAGTCCTTTAACATTACTATCATAAAATTTGTTTAGTAACATTTTCTTTAAATCCACTTGCAATTGTATATTTTATATATATGGTCCTGTTTTCTCTTAAAATAGTAACTATTTTAAATAGTTCTATAGTGATTTGGTCTAAAAGATACTACTAAATTCAAGAATTGAGTAATCTGGAAGCCAAGTTAAGTGTCACTAATTATATATTATAATGTTAAATGTTCCTTCTGATTTATATATGACAGTGACATGTGAAAAGAAAAATGTAATTGTGGCTACCTTCTTTGCCATGCTTCCAGCAATATATGATAGGCTATTATGTAGTCTTAAAATTCATATTTAGAATCCTAAATTTTTCTGTAATAATTAATAAAATACCAAAGTAGTGTTAGAATATGTTGACATTGTAGTTCCAGGAAAATCATGTGGCGTTTTTGTTAGTTGTTTTTTAATGTGGTAGGTTGGAGAGAGTTTTGACAGAGTCAAGCTTGGTCTAAAATATTTGTTATAATAGTTTTATAGAGGAAATCCATTCTGAAGGACAATCTTTGAAGAAATGGGAGAAATCAGGGGATATCAGTGAACCTTAAACCAACCTATTTTGCATATAAAAAAATGTTTTAAAAACAGTCTTTTTCTTCGAATGACCCATCCTGATTTTTTTCTACTTTAGGACTACATGAATTTGTATGTATTTTTCTATATGGAAATAATATGTATTCTTCCTGTTTGTTCCAGTGTTCATAATTGTTCATGTTCTCTTTTTTTCCCCTGGTGAGAGCATTCAGTGAAATAGGACTTGGTGAAAGATTTACTTAAATGAGGAACAAAGTGTGAAAAGTAGACATCTCACTGCCGAAGCAGAAGAGTTAAACTCTTAACATGACACAGATGAAAGATTTGGCTTGAGGGGCAATAATATTTATTATCTGAAAATTATGCTTGGGACCAGCAGCTATTTTCTCAGGATAAGTATCTTGCCCGCTTCTGTATGAGCAAGTCTGGGGTAGCTTAATTTCTATTTTCACATTTATGACTCTATAGAAACAATTTTAAAACAATGATTAATGAAATTGTTAAAATCTGAGAAAAATGGCTTGAACTTTTCCCCTGGCTTCAACTTTTGGTGAGAAAAATTAAAAATATACGTAAGACACAGCCACTACACTATCATTGAGCAATTCTATATTCTGTTAAACACTATTAAAAAATTATTTCCCTGAGGGAATAAGTGCCCATTGGCAACTTAAAGAAATTGTTTTTTGTCTACTTTGACTAAAATTGTTAACTTATTATGTAAAAGCAATAGTGTGAAATGTAATGTCTTTTTGTTTGGAATATTAAATGAGCAAATAAATATGTTGAGATTGTTTTAAGTTATTCTAATGATGTTTCTGTTTTGTTCTTGTCTATTTATTTGTCAACTGTGTTCATGCAATGTTACTTTTCTTACTTAATCTTTAAATCATTTTGTTGTTGTTGTTATGCACCGTCAAGTCGACTCAGTGTACAGTAGCTCTGAACCCTGGTTCTTCTGAGCCAACTTCATCGTCTCTGACACACCTATTCCCATTATCCCAGTCACTGAGTCAGTCCATCTCATCCAGGGTCTTCCCCCTGTTCTGTCCCTCTACCCTTCCAAACATGATGTCCTCCTCCAAGGACTGGTCCCTCCTGGCCATGTGCCGAAGTATGTGAGACAGAGCTTCAAAATCCTTGCCTGAAAAGAGAAACTTTATTTCATCCTTTCCTAGACAGACCTGTGTGTTCTCTTTGCAGTCCGTGGTATGTATGTTTAATACTCTTCTCAAGCACTGCATCTCAAAGGCATCGATTCTTATTCAGTTATCCTTAGTCATTGTCCAATTTTCTGATGCATAGCAAGTAATCTCAAAGACCATAGCCTAGGTCAGGCACACCTTAGTCTCTAGACGTCATTGCTCTTCAGTATTCTGGAGAGGTCCCTGACAGCAGATTTTTCCAGTGCAGTTCATTTTTTGATTTCCTGGCTGCTGGTACCAAAAGTGTTGATTGTGGAGCCAAGCACACTGAAGCTGTTAACAGTCTCAGTCTCTTTTACATCTATCGTGATTCTGCCAGTTTGCCCAGTGGTGAGACTCTTTGTTTTATTGATGTTGAGCTTCAATCTATATAGAAGGCTTCAGTCCTTGACCTTCTGCAGCAAATGCCTTAGGTCCTCTTCAGTTTCAGCAGACAAGGTTATGTCATCTGCATAACAGACGCTGTTGATGAATCGTCCTCCAGTCCTGATGCCACATTTCTCCTCATAGAATTCAGCCTCCTGGATAATTTCTTCTGCATATATAGATTGAAAGGGTTTGGAGATAGGATGCATCCTTCATTTTGAACCATACAGTGTTTCCTTGGTCAGTTCTGATTACTGCCTCCTGGTCCAAATACAGGTTTCATATAAGCACAATCAAGTGTTCTGGGATTCTTAGAGTTAGCCACAGTTTGCTGTGATCCACACAAATGCCTTTGCATAGTGAATGAAACACAGACATTCCCCTGGTACTCTGCTTTCAAGTATGATCCATCTAATATTGGCTGTAATATCCCTAGTTACTACTAAGTAAATATTAATATGCAGGAAAAGATTTTATGACTTTTAAATTCATCTAGTTTAAACTCATCGGTCTAAGATATTCTTGAATAAGAACAAGTGTTTGAGACAAATCTGCATCATTTTAAAAGAAGACATCAGAATCAATAAATATTCCTCATTTTTATGAAGGACAAATAATATTGTACTGCATTGTTTTTCCCCCTTCTCCCCCCTAATTTCAGAATGAAATAACATGCTGAGGATGGCACAGGATAGGACAGGGTTCAATTCTGTTGTTTATAGGGTTACTGTGAGTCATACTCAGTGGCACCTAAGAACAACAACTTCATAATGTATCTTGACATTGCTTTCATATTAGCATATCACTTCTTCATGCTATATTTTACATTATTATTTAAATTATTCCTTTAGGTCTGTATGTGTTTGTCTATATGTATAGGGCACTCTGGTGGCCAGTAAAAATATGGTAAGAATCTGCATTGTAATCCCAAAGGCACACAGTTCAAATCCACCAGATGGGCAATCTCCCATGCAATTCACTGCCTCTGAAAACCCACTGGAGCAGCTAAAAGTTGGTTCCAACTCAGTGGCTCACAATAATATATAGATATAGACATGCACGCACACATAAATGAGTAATATTTTTCCAGCATATTGTTTATAACCTTAGGTGTTCATAAGCAAGGGGAAAAATCTTGCAGGATGTGTACACATTTCAGATTTACTGACTAATACCAAACTGCTTTACAAACTGGTTTATCAATATACATTACCACAAGTAATGGATACTAGAACCTGTTTCTTCACTGTCTTCTTAAACAGAACTTTGTCAAACTTTTTAAAATTTGCAGAACCACAAGAAAGGTACAGGTGGAAATGATGGATTTATACTTTCTGAAAAGATGCCATTAAGATTAATTTTCATCTCAGTAGGAACCTAAAGCTCTTTTTCTGTCTTCACATGGTAACTGCCAGCTCTAAAAGTCTGATTTTAGGATACATATGATGCCTCTACTACAGTTTCTGTAAAATATCGACTGAGTGAAAAAATCCAGTAATTGAAATTTTAATGTATTATCAAAGAAGTTTACTTGCATTTGAACAGTTTTTAACATTCTAGGTGAATTTCCACTAATATGTAGATATCGATCCCAAAAAGACAAACTTTGAAGGTATTAGCAATATTTTATTGAATATATTAATTGACATCTGGTTAATAAATAAAAATAATATTTGATAACTTCATTTGTAAATATTTTTAAAATGTATTTTTGTTTCCCTTTTCCACAGGTTTGAGTTATAATTAAAACATGTTAAACTTTTTATATTCAATTATAAAAAAATAGTAAAACAGTAACTTTTGTAGACATTGCATTTGTCGTGGTGAATCCTGGCAATTTTGCTTTCACCTTAAGATGTAGAGTATAAACGTTACACAAAATAGATGGTAGTTTTGTTTTTTAAAAAAGTCCCAAACACTCTACCAGAATTCTTTTTTAAAGCAAAATAACATGCTTGGTTTGTGTGATTATCCAGTCAGCAAACATTCCTACTTATACTGCCACCCTTCTTTCCTGAGGCTGATTATGTGGTACAGTCCGTAGTCTGCCGGGACTTCATTAGTGCTCGCTTCAACTGTTCAAAGCACACAAACATAATGACATTCCAGGATGCGAGTCGTAAGAAGGAAGGCACGAACCTAGAATAAGTGCACATCACCGTTCTATTAGTTTGACATTCTTAAAGCTCTGAAACAAGCATATTCTCAAATGAAGATGAATGATACTGACGGTATCATTCATCATTGTGAAGAATGTAACTTTTCATGTTTCTCTCCACTGCTCAAAATAGTGTTCTTGATACCCTTGAAGAAGTGTTGTCTTCAACTCAACTGTTTAGGTGTTAATTTATTTGATAATCAAAACATTATCAAATCCTGTACAATTGACTCCAGCTTGTAGCCAAGAAATTAGTTCTACATATATTATGGCAATACTTGTTCTTAGAATGTCAAAACCAAAGCCCCCCTCAGGCTTATTGCCAGAACTAAGAACTGACCCTCTAGTGTGTTTTGCCATAGTGAAATGCTTCAAAAGAGGTCACCAGTTATAGTATCATTAGATAAATTATTCAAGACAGCTGGCCAGTCTTCTCCCGTGTGGTTTATAACCTCTTAACACCCACTATGGTGGGTCTGCTATGAATTGGTTTCAATTTGATGGCTTTTAATGACAACCACCTATAAAATATTCTCCCAGAGAAACGGTAAGTGGTTAATGCTTAATAGTATATCCATTTTAGGCCAGTTTTATATTTGTGGGAGCCTTTTGTGAGCTCTGGTGGCCTAGTGGTAAGAAGCTGTGTTGCAATTCCAAAGAACTGTGGTTGGAATCCAGCAGTTGCTCAGTGGGATCAGCCTTTTATATAACATATATAATGCATTTGAGGCCATCTGGTGGCAGAGTCCTTAGTGTGCTGTTCTGCTAACCCACAGGCTGTGTGTGTCTGCCAGTTTGAATCCACCAGCAGCTTCATGGGAAGAGGATGGGCAGTCGCCTCCTCTTGAGAGTTTTAGCCTTGAACACTCTATGGAGGGCCACTGTGAGTTGGAATCAACTGAATGGCAGTAAGTTTGAGTTTATAGGTTAAAAAAAAGTTTTAGAATTTTTCTTAAAATAATACTTTACCTCTTATCTCCTATAATCTTTGTCAAGTATTTTAATAAATTGTTATTGTTATGGGCCATTGAGTCAAGATCATGCTGTTCTTTCTTAGGAAGGAAGTTTTCAATATCATAGTTATTTGTTTTGTTTGTTATGAAGGAAAATACAACATAATACTCTCATAATATCCAAACAACATTTTCTGCATCAATTTCCTAAGTTAATGACAATGATTTAGCTCTATTATTCATTTAACATAATTCAAAAGAATAAATGAAACAAAATAGTACAAATCAAATCCGGTTTTCTTATAATCCTCTATTATGTTTCCCCTCTTTTTGATAACTCTCTTGCCTCTTGAAGGCAAATTATTGTTTACATTTCAACAAGGTTGGGGAGGAAAAGAGGCCATTGATTATCAATGAGGCTCTGATTGAGGTTGAAAAAATTATCCAACTATCAGAGTTTGGTTTCATTGGTTGTTTTTTGGGTGGGTTTTTTTCTTGCCACAGTGGAATTACTGAGTTGGACAAATTTGTGGCAAGGGAAAATAGATCACTAAGTAGACTACATATGCTTAGGCTGGTAAGCTTAATGTCATTGTTAGTTAAAATGATATTTCAAGGCACACAGATAGTTCACGCATAAGAGAATCGCCTACCCTTTGAAAAAAGCAGGCACTCCTTCCTTGGTGAGCATGGCCATTGCACACTTGGGTATACTTGCATAGTGTCCTGGTGGGGAATTTATATATCTGGTTTTCACCACATCTGATGGAGAAGACATAAGTGTTGCACAAAATCCAGCAACAAGAGCAGAGAGCAAGTGGCAGGGGACATCATCTGAAAAGAATCAGTGAAACAGGGCAACATCAGGTGAGAGAGCTTGTCAGTTTTTAGTTATTTGTCAAATCCCTGAAGCCCAGTTTGTTCGTAATTGGTGATCATGATAGATCATCTCAAAAATATATGAAGGTTGTACTTTCACTTACTTGAAAAAAGATGACAAACAGCACATGGCTCAGTGAATTGTAAACTTACAGAAAATAACATGTCAGGTTTCTCTGTGCTATCAGGTCCTAAAACAATGCCTGACAAATATGTTGTTACTAGGTGCCATAAAGACAAATACAACTCCTCGTGACCCTATGAACAACAACTCTGAACCTTGCCTTATCCTGTGCCATCTTCACATCCTCTGATATGCTCCAGCCCATTGTTACAGTCACTATATCAATTCATCTCCTCAGTCTTGTCTTTCTCGGAAGCTCATCCTTTTCCAGCATGATGTCTTTTTCCAAGGACTAGCCCCTCCTGATGGCATCCAAAGTATGTGAGCTGAAGTTTCACCAAGCTTGCCTCCAAGAAGTATCTTGGTTGCACTTTCTCTAAGATAGACTTGTATGTTCTTTTCTAATCTATGGCATTAAGCATGTAGTAGTAGTTCTTTATTAAATCCCAGTCATCGCTTAAAATATTCAAATGCCATTAGAAACTATTGGATATTATTTTTAGGAATCTACCCTATATGTCTTGGAGAAGGTGCAACCAGAGTGCTCCTTGGAGGCAAAGATGATAAAGCTTTATTTCACATCCTTTGGGCAAATTGCTATTGCTCTTGTTGTTCTTGCTGGACTATTCCTTGGAGAGGGAAATTAGGTGGAGGTATGGTGAAAAAGAGACCCTTAATCAGGTGGATTGACACAGTGACTGCATAACTGGCTCAAGTATGCCAGAGATCATAATAGATGACGGCGCAGGATAGGACAGGGTTCAGATCTGTTTTTCATACTCAGTTTAACTGCACCTAACAACAGCAACACGGAATGACACAAAAGACATCAAAGAATTCCTTACACAGCTAACTCTTCTAAACAGTGCATGATGGAGTCACTGAATGGGACAAAGAAATGCCGTGGTAGTATCGTCGTAGGAAAAATTCCTAAAACTTGGGTATTTCCTTTTCATAAAATCATGCTTAATGTTTGAAATTACTTTTTGAAAAAGAAAAACCAAACTATTAGCATTCAATAATATATTCTAATGTGGCAAGAGAAGTACCAAGATAAATTATAGACATGCAGGCCTGTTTGTTAAACAAAATAGAAGTTACCTGCCAGGATGTTGTTTTTCACAAAGGTATCCTTCATAACGTCATACGTTACTAGCTCTGTACAATTGATGATGATACTTCTTACAAGATTTGGTGTAGTCCCTGGAAGGAGAAAATGTTTAATAACTCCTTTGCATGATAAGGTGCTAATTACAATTGTGTATTTTAATAATAATAAAATTATCTTTGAAGTTCATTACCTTTCCAAAGACCTCTCAAGGTTTCTGTTGTTGCTATAATCCTGTAAGCATTGTAAGTCCCGGTGTAGCGTGGTTTGGGACCATGGAGATGGCTTTGTGCTTGAAGTCTAACCTTCACAACCTCTGTGGGTTGCCCAATGAACACTGCCACTCCGCCTGTTGTTAAGCCAGCGCAGATCCTGTTTCCTAAACTAGCTGGTACTATTTGGAATGGGAAAAGATTTATTAAGGTTAAAAGAAGAAAATCAAGACCTAAAATGCACCAATACACCTTTTACTTTTCAGAGGTTAGTGTTTTAGACCTACAATCTTTTCTCATGTGATTAACTGCCTCTGAAAACCCCTCAGAGTATCAGCTAAGTGTCAGTTCTGACTCCATGGTCCAAAACAGCAACATTTCTTCTACTTCCCTGAGTGTTGATCATGTGGTAAACCATAGCAAAGAGAGAATGCTTTAGCTGGAAATGAAAAGACTTTCAGAGAAAAAAAACCCAAACCATAATACCTACTTAAATAATCACTTGGTTCTTTTATTCTGGTTCTCAGTATTCCTAACTAGAAGGATACCTCTCTCACTGATAATTCTTCAATGATGATGTCAATTATTGAGCCTCATGGTCTTAAGAACAGCCCACGAGGACAAACTAGACCCAAGGAGGTAAAAATGAAAAGAAATTAAGAAAATGATTTTTCATTCAAAATTTTGAAAATCTGTCTTATGTTACTTAAGGTCTTTGATAAAACTACAAATAGTCTTGGAGCTATTTACAATTAAAAACCATAATTTTACAGAATAGCATTTTAGTGTTTTCCCTCTAGTGTAATTTTTGTTGAGTATATTAATTAGGTACTCTGTATTAAATATGCAATACTTAATGCTATGAGGTAGAAGTTATTATCCTCTTTACTCACAGGAAACTGAGTATTAGAGGAGTTGGGTCAATACACAAGATCTACTAACTATTTGAGGCTTCTTCATGCGAAGCAGAACAGCCATCTATACTTAGGAGAAGTAATGATCTTACGTGACCTTCTTGGCAGATTTCAATACTTCTTTTTAAAGAACCTCTGGATGACATGAATATAGAATAGTTTATAACTCTTCAAATTTGTATTTAAAACTACACAGTAACATACAAAGTGAAGCTAAGTGTCTATAATTAAATTTATTGTTTAATAGCAATTACCCTCCATGGACTTAGCTTTTAATTCTGTTTGCTCATGGTAAAATGAATATTTTATAATAATAACAGTTTCTTTATAGAGTTATGAGATTTATTGGGGGGAGGAAGTTTCCTTTTCTGTGTTTTTAATGAAAGTTTAGAGACAGGTTCCATTTTTTTAATTCAGTGAATTGTAAGATTTAAATGAAATAATATCCATAAAACACTTAACCTGGAATATACAAAATACATACAATTGCAGCATTTATACTATGTTTTTACTGGTTGTTTTGGTTGGGGTTCCCCTCCATCATACTTTTAAGGACCTGAGTATATTCTTCCTTCAGTGATGAAATTATAACCGTTTGTCGAGATAAAATTATTGCAATTATCTCTACTTTTGGCTTATGTAGTATTACCTTGATGTACTTTTGCTGCGTTCTAATCTCCAGCCCTTTCTTGGCCATCCAGACTCCTCTTTCTTACCTCATGAAGCCCTTGGTGAGAATGGTGTTATTCTTTGTCATGTATTCTCCTGATCCTTCCCCACCTGCTGTACTCTGGATTCCACACCAATCACTCCATTAAGCATATTTTTTGGTCAGGAAACCCATAAGCCTCTCTTTGTTAGGTCTAATGTCCACTTTTGCACTTTTTTAAAAACTTTATTTCTTGTGCACCTCTCTATGCCACTTTTTTCATACCCTCTCTACTCCCAGAACACTTGATTGTACTTATGCAAAACCTATGTGGACCAGGCAGCAGTCGTCAGAACAAACCAAGGAAACACTGTAGTTCAAATCAAGAAAGGTATCTGCCAGAGATGCATCCTATCTCTATACCTTTTCAAACTATATACAGAACATATCATCTAGGAGCTCAGCTTTTTGAGGAAGAATGTGGCATCAGAACAGGAGGAAGACTCATCAGCAACCTGTGTTATGCAGATGATGCAACCTTGCTTGTTGAAACTGAGGAGGACTTACAATTGCTGCAGAAGCTCAAAGCCTGCAGCCTTCAATATGGACTGAAGCTCAACATCAAGAAGACAAAGGTTGTTACCACTGGGCCAATTGGCAGCATCATGATAGATAGTAAAGAAACTGAGATTGTTAATAGCTTCACCATGCTTGGCTCCATGGTCAACGCTCTTGGTACCAGCAGCCAGGAAATCATACAAATTGCATTGGGAAAATCTGCTTCCTGGGACCCCCCCCCCCAAGTACTAAAAAGCAGTGATGTCAGTCTAGAGACTAAGGTGCATCTGTTCCAGGCCATGATCTTCACAATTACTTGCTATGCATCAGAGAGCTAGACAATGACTAAGGATAATAGAAGAAGAATTGTTGCCTCTGATTTGTGGTGTTGGAGAAGAGTATTGAATAGAGCATGGACTTCTAGAAGAACTAACAGATTCATCCTGGAGAGGGTGAAATCAGACTTTGGATGCAAGGATTTTAAAGCTTCATCTGACATATTTCGGGCATGTTTCAAAGACAGACCAACCAATGCTGGAGATAGATGCTTGGAAGGATGGAAAGACAGCACAAGAGATGGACTGACTCAGTGACTGGGGTAATGGGGGTAGGTGTTTCAGAGACAATGAAGTTGGCTTAAGATAGAGCAGGATTCAGAACTTTTGTACATAGGGTCGCTATGAGTTGCAAGTGATTCTGTTGTTGATTACTGTCGAGTCGAGCACTACTCATAGTGACACTATGATCAAAAGGCCTGAAACCTTTCTATAACTAATTATCGTTATTTCTTCAAGTTCATAGAGTTTCCAGAGACATGTGGTTTAGGAAGTGGATGCCACTCCTTCTTCCAAACCTGTCTTAAACTGGGAGTTCCACCAAATACTGTCCACCATGGGTAGCCGTTATGACATTTGACACCCCCCAGTGACACAAGGTTCAACATCACAGAAAACCCAGATTAACTCAGTACAGCAAATTGACAGAAAAATGCTGTACAACTTAGAAGAATGTTCCTCCAAAAGATAAAAAACACCAGGCCCTCAGTTTCAACCAAGTTTTAAATACAACGGCCCTCCTTATATATATATAAGCAAAAGGCCTGAAGCCTTTTTATAACTATCATTGTTTCTCCAACTTCATAGAGTTGCCAGAAGTGAGTGGTTTAGGAAGTGGATGCCACTCCAGCTTCCAAACATGAATCAATCTGTTTTTGTTTGTTTGTTTGTTTTTTAAACTCGACAGCATGTTACAACAACCAATCCCATTGACTTTACTTGCAAATCCCTGGAATCTATCACAGATCTTTCTCTTGAACTCATATGCCTATACTTACCAAACACTTGATTGAGCTCGTGAGAAACCTATACATACTTGGACCCAGGAGGCAGCTGTCAGAACTGTACACTACATAGAAATACTACATAGTTCAAAATCGAGAAAGGAGTAAGTTGGGGTTGTGTGCTTTCACCATATCTTTTCAATCTATACGTGACTAGATCATTTGGGAGGTTGTATTTTTGGCAAGAGGCATGTGACATCAGGATTGGAGGTAGACTCATCAGCAATCTGCCTTATGCAGATGACACAAACTTGCTTGCTGAAAATGTGAAGGGTCAGAAGTATTTTCTGCAGAAGGTTAAGGACTTTAGTCTTCAGTATAGATTGAAGCTCAACATCAAGAAAACAATGATTCTCATCAATGGGCCAATTGGCAGCACTACGATAGATGGAGAAGAGACTGAGACTGCTAACATCTCAGCTTGCTCAGTTTCACAATCAACACTCTTGGCACCAGCAAACAGGAAATCAAAAGACTCATTGCATTGGGAAAATCCACTTTCAGGGACTTCTCCAGAGTGAAGAAGGGCAAAGATGTCAGTCTAAAGACTAAGGTGTATCTGATCCAGGCCATGATCTTCGCAATTACTTGCTATGCATCAAAGAGCTGGACAATGACCAAGGATGGCAGAAGAAGAATTGATGCCTTTGAGTTGTGGTTGCCAGAGAGAGTACCGAACAGACCATGGAATACCAAGTGAACAAACATGTCTGTCCCAGAGAAGGTGAAACCAAGTTGCTTTCTAGAGGCAAAGATTTTGAAGCTCCGTCTCATATACTCTAGGCATGTTGCCAAGAGAGACCAGTCCTTAGAGAAGGATATCATGTTTAGAATGTTAGAACAACAGTGCAGGAGAAGATGACCCTGCGTGAGATAGATTGACACAGTAACTGGGGTAATGTGGGTAGATATGCCAGAGACAGACTGGCTCAGGATAGGGCAGGGTTCAGAGCTGTTGTGCATACATTTGCTATGAGTCACAGTCAACTTAACGTCAAATAACAACAAAGGAATTTCTACATCTCTTCCCTCAAGGAATGGCTTCTTTATTTAGAGACAAAGAAGCCATTGTATTTCATACCTTTTCTTTAGTCCTTATTTCTGGTTTTCACCACATTCTGTGAACTGTATTTCCCAAATCATTCCAGTCTGTGTGTTCCTTTCCTTGCCTTTTGCCATTGTTTAGGTCATATCTGGATCATTTCTTCCTTTAGAATAAAATGCTTCTGTCTGTCCCCTTTTGCTACACATCCTCTATCCTGCAACCGAAACAGTCTTTTGAAAATGTCAACTTGCTTATACTACTCTTCTACTTGAATATTTTCATAACTTCTCATCACTTTAAGGATACAATCCAAACTGCTGAGCATGGCGCCTACAAAGCCTTTGTCACTGGCTCCTCCTGCTCTCTGCCTTTCTCTCTTCTCTCCAAAAGGACCTTTTTGTGTTTTTCCCCACTCCTGAGTCTTTGTTCATGGCTTTCGCTCTATTTTAAGGTCATTTCTTTTTACTTCACCAAGATCACCTCTACTGGTCAATCAAGAATCAATCAGGGAAATTTTCCATGACTGTTCCCTCAAGGCGAGACTAAATATTCCCTAAGATTTAAGTCCACTCAGAGGTAAGTTGGAAGAATGGTTCAGTCTCTGCTGTGAAAAATCAGTCACTGAAAACCTTACGGAACACCATTCCCTGGCACACATTCTCTGCTCACCATGAATTTCAATCCATTTGACCACAACCAATCTGGGTGTTGCCAATATCCCATAACTATCTTTAATGGCACTTGTTGATATACGTTAACCTACTGACTTATCTTTCTCCCCACAGCCCCATACTCTGAAACTACAAGATCCTTCTGGAGAGAATCTGATATCTATATATCTAACACAGGGCTTGACACATGGCAGCTTGATTTTGAATTGAGTAGGTGTAAAAACTGCTGCCACAACATGTCACATTAATCTCATGCCTAACATATTTAGAAGTTGGTCATGTCAGTTACATTGAATAAAGCATTGAAGTGGACAGTTTTAAATCCTTCGTAAAATTTCTTTTTTGCTGCACATATAAATATTACAATGTAATGTTCAGAATTTATCTTCAATTTTTGACCCTGTGAGAATAAGTTTAAATTTACATGTTTATAAAAATATCATTTATAAGTTGTCCCTTAAATCTGTCTTCTATAAATATTATTCAAAGCAGAAATAATTAAATCTGCTGAGACAGTAATTTAAAACTAAAAAAAAAAATACCCAACAAAACAATCGCCCACTATCATCATGCCAATTCTGACTCATTGTGACAAGGTAGAGCTATACCTTAGGATTTCCACCAACTGCAGGCTTTTACAGAAGCAGAGGGCTTTATAGAAGCACACTGTTGTTTCTTTCACCCTTAGAGCAACTGGTTGGCCCAAGCTCCAACCTTCTGATTGGAAACCAAATGTTTTAACCACTGCATTACCTGGGCTCCTTAGTCACTTAGGATATTTCTTTGTATCTGTAGCGTTATCTCCTAACTGGTTTATCTGCTCTGCATGAAGGAGTCCAATATTTTACTGTATGAGCTTGTGCATGTTACTTGACTTCTCTGCTACTCGATTTCCACTTTGGAAAACACCTGTCATCGAGTTGGCATTGGCTCATAGTGGTCCTTGCTGATGGATTTGAACTGTCAGAGAGGTACCACATTTGTATTAACAGCATAACTCGCTGTCACTCCCTGAGGCTACACCTGGAGTACGTATGTATGGAGTGATGTACAGAATCGAATGGAAATTGCTGTAGCAGTATGATTCAGTGATTTAGAGCCTGAGCTCAGAGGGCCAAGACTGCCAGAGAGCCTCAGAGGTTGGAACTCTACCTATTTTTGACCTTTGGCAAGTTACAAAACTGTTCAATGCTTCATTTTCTCCATTTGTAAAAGTAAAAAGAATGATAATATCTTAACTTTGGTATACCGGAGACACTGAGAACAGCACACTGATAGTAAGCTGCCTAATAAATGCTAACTAAGCTGAAAATGCCATCTGAAAACTGCTGTGCATCTGAGAGCTGGACAATGAGTAAGGATGACAGAAGAACTGAAGCCTTTGAGTTGTGTTTGGAAGAGTACTCAATATCCCATGAACATCCAAAGAACAAACATGTTCTTGGAGAAGGTGCAGCCAGAGTGCTCCTTGGAGGCAAAGATGGCAAAGCTTTGTCTCACATACTTTGGGCATATTGCTAGGAGAGGGTATTCCATGAAGGACTATGTGCTTGGAAAAGCGAAGGGCCAGCAAAAGAGAGGAAGACCTTCAACCAGGTGGATTGACACAGTGACTGCAGCAATGGGCTCGAGTGTGTCAGAGATTGTGAAGATGGCACAGGGTGGGCAGTGTTCAGATCTGTTCATAGGGTCACCATGAGTCATGCTTGACTTGACACCACCTAATAACAAACTGAGAAACTCAGCTACTGGAAACCTACGGTTTTAATTTGACATACCTGGAGTCACCATGTGTCAGAATCAACAGAGTGGCAACTGGTTGGTTTGTTTACTAGGCTGAAAGGAACACTTTAGGATACAGGGAAACTCAAGAAATAGCCATTTCTTTTTCCTCCTCTCCTCAAATCCACTACATTTACATCTACTTTCTGCTGTGACTCTCTCAACATTGGAGACCTTAGTAAGGAACATCTTAAGGAGAATGATCTCCTGTTTTTTTTTCAACTCTGCTCTCAAGGACTGCTTTTCTTCTCTTAAACCCATAGATTCCAAACTTTGTTCGCATGGTCCTCCCAATTTCTTGCTATTTATCAGAGAGCTGGACAATGACTAAGGAAGAAAAATCTATGCTTTGAGTTGTGGTGCTGCTGGAGAAGAGTATTGAACATACCCTGGACTACCAAGAGAACAAACAGGTCTGTCCTAGAGAGGGTGAAACCAAGCTACTCCTTGGAGGCAAGGATTTTTAAGCTCTGTCTTACATACTTTGGGCATGTTGCCAGGAGGGACCAGTCCTTAGACAAAGACATTATGTTTGGAAAGGTGGAGGGCCGGTGCAGGAAGAAGACCTCAGGTGAGATAGATTGACACAGTAGGGTAAGGAGGGTAGGTGTGTTGGAGACAGACTGGCTCGGGACAGAGCAGGTTTCAAAGCTGTTGTGCATAGGGTCGCTATGAGTTGAAGTTGACTGGACAGCACATAACAGCATAATTGTTCTTGTGTGCACCTGGGACTATTCCAACTCGGTGACACCCAACAACAAGAACTATCCTGCAAAGCTGCTAGGCTGCACTCTTTATGGAGGAAGTTGTCAGGTCTTTTCTCTCAAAGAGTGGCTGGTGGTTAGCCTCTGAGGACTTAACCGCTTTACCACCAGAAACTTCCTGTGAAAGTTTGCTCTAACAGATTTTCTGTGCACCACTCTAAGAGAGTCTTCACTGAACAGGACTGGGGCAGTTCACAAGTTTGGTTTTTTTTTTTTAAAAAAATACAATCTGGCAGTTCACAAGTTTTACTCTTTTAAACAAGTTCCTCAGGGGTTTCTGATATGCATCATCATCATCTGGGTTAAACTACTGTTTCTAGATTAGTTCAGTGATTCACTGGGTGGTTTTAAAAATAATAAACCTGCTCCTGAAAATTCCATTTTTGCACTTTTGCCAATCAGAATCAATCTAATATTCTACAGGCCAACTTTAAATATGATTTGGCAGTAGTGAATATGAAGGCCCAGATCCTCCGTGTTACATTTTTCTAACAGTACCGTGACCAATGCATGTGTCCCCAGCTCTCTGGCCCTCCCGGGGACACTTGCTACTTACCATCTTTCCCTTCGGTGAAGTACTCCTGGACCGTATCATAGAGGCCGATCCGAAGGGAGGCAGAGCTTATCTGGCGCTGAATGCCAGCAGGCAGCCCGCTGTAAAGTTTCATTGGCCCTTCTGTTTTTGCCAGAGTGGTGATTGTTCCCAAGACGCCTTTATATCTGATTGGGCTGGAAATTGGGCATTCTCCTTGGATCTGGAAATCAGAAAGGTACAGGTCAAAAGGAAGTGAAATGGAGAGGATCCTACTCCCCGGGAAGTATGTGGATGGTACACAAGGTTAGCATGCTTAGCTGCTAACCAAGAAGCTGGAGATTGAATCCATCCAGAAGCACGTCAGAAGAAAGGCCTGGTGACCTTCTGAAAAACTAGCCACTGAAAACGCTGTAGACACAGTTACTCTGACACACATGATGAGGTTGCCAGGAGTTGGCTTACGGTGTTAGAAAACACCTGCTTCGGGCTGTCTTTGGCAGAGACATTTTCACCTAAAATTGTTCTTCCAACATGTTTATGTTTTGCGTTTCTTTTTATTCTCGGCAATAGCTTCGCTCCCCTCCACCCCCACAATATAGGCTCATGTGTGTAAGTAATAGACTGATGACAGAGTACTTGACATCCCGTGCCCATCCACAAATGATGCACTGGATACGTCAGTTGGAAAAGTGTCCCTGAAGAATCATAGAAGGAAGAGGCTTGTGAACACAGGACACGATGTCCTTAGCTCTCAGCACCTTTGCTTTTTAGGGGTGTAGCACTGAACCCATTCTCCATGACCAGAGTGGTTCTTCCGTTAATCAGGGATCAAGTTCCAAATTTCCCACCTTAAAACATCCCTTCCTGTGTCATAGTCACATTCTTTTACATCACATTAGCCACCTGTATTACTTAACAGAAATGACCAGGGTATCAAAGGGGCCCATACAGAGGGCGTTTCTGAATGTGGAGACACCGTCAGCCTCGCCTCTTACCTGGAGCCGAACTTTGGCAGTGTCCAGCGGGAAGGTGGCCACGTCCGCCAAGCAGGCAGACACCCCGGCTGAGAAGATATTCACCCCCATGGTGGGGTGCACGTCGGAGGAAGTCAGGCCCACCATCTTCACCAGCAAGGCAGAGCGAGGAGCCGATGCGAAGTGTCTTCCCTCCTGCGAGCCTGGGGTCAAGTGGGAGCAGCAGCCTCGCGCTTTCGGTGGTCTTTCGGTGGCGGCTGCAGCCTTGGAGTGGGTGGTCAGCTGCAAGCCAGTGAGGGGGCCAGCGACGTCTCTCTGCTCCCCACCCTTGGGCCACGAGGATCCACTGCTCCCAGCAACTTATATAGCCCTTCTGGCCGCCCTGGGGCTGGACTGAGAGAGGTCACTCAAGAGCCAAGAGCCGATCAAAGGAGCGGACAGGGGCGTGCCCCAAGGCATCCGCCCCTCCCACTCTCCATTCTAGTTTGGCGCCTTCTGAGCTGCCTTTGCACCCCAAAGCCCAGAAACTGCACCTCTTCATCTGTGTTCCGCACCCCGTGAATCCGAGACCAGCGCCCCACAGAGGGCCCCCAGCGCGGGGACACGCAGGGCTTCCTAGTCTTTCAGCCCCTTAGGCTGCGTGCGGTCCTCTGGGCGGGCAGCAAGTGGGGCTCTGTCAAACAGACCTCAGATCCCACCCAGCCAGACCTCTAGGAGGGGAGAGGGCGCGCTCCTCTTCTCCTTCCTGTGACTCTGAACCTTTGCTGGCACCAGGAGCCTTCTCCTTTCCCCTTCTCTTCTAATGCCTTATTCTCCCAGTTTTTTGCCAATCACCAAATTCAGTCTTGGAGAGATCGCAGACAGAAACGAGCGACACCCTGAGCTTTTAAAAGAAGTCTTTCTTTTTTTTTTTTTTTTTCCTTTGGACCCACTTTTTAAAAAATTTATTATTAATTTCAATGAAAATTTACAAAGACTTTGGATTTCCATTCATTCATTGTTGCACTTTTCTCCCCTCCCAAAATGTCTTTCTTTTTTTTTTTTTTTCCTTTGGACCCACTTTTTAAAAAATTTATTATTAATTTCAATGAAAATTTACAAAGACTTTGGATTTCCATTCATTCATTGTTGCACTTTTCTCCCCTCCCAAGCACAGTCTCCCTAGTACACTACCCTCTTGGAAAAGTAAAAGAAAAATTCTTTCATTGTTTTACAAACCCTCCCCCAGGTCTACTCCATTATGCAGCCTTCACTCTGGACTCCTGTCATGACAAAAATACCTAATCACATATCCCTTTTAAATAGTTTTCTCCCTCATCTGTTTTAATGCAGTATACAGTATAAGAAATCATTTTCTTTTGATCACATCTTTTTGTGGGAGGAAGTCAAATAGTAAACTCCTAAAGCACACTATACAGAGTGAGGCTCATTAGCACCTTTTTGTCACATTTCTTAGGGAGGTGATATGGAAAGGACACTGGCAGGTCTTGCTTGGCTCTAGGTACAACAGTGCCCCTTAGCAGCTCTGCGGCCCTGGACAAAGCATCTTCACCCAGGCTTGTGTTCCTCACAGTATAACTGTGGCTGGAGTGGCTAGTTCTAAAATCCAGTTACTTACCCTCAGTGATAAATTAAGTCTTGCATTCTCATTCATTCTCTCTCTCTCTCTCTCTCTCTCTCTCTCTCTCTCTCTCTCGTTGTGGAGTAGGGAGGTTAGCCTAGGAGTCAAGGGCTTTTCACACTTCCATCTGATGCTTTTATTCTTTTGATAATATTTTCAAAAACTCTGCAAAAAGGTAGTGGGAAGTCATGGGAACAGAAGGAGGAGAGAATGGGGAAAGAGCAGGTCCAGCTTCCAAAAACTTCTTACAAACCTTGATTCTTTGTTATCGAATACATGTTCATGATTTACAAATTGCTAGAACCTAGCATAGTATTTAACATCCTACTTTAAAAAAAAAGAATCCATGAAGTCAAAGGGTCACGTTCTCCCAGGCTAGAGGAATAAGCACAAAGTTCCTAGAGAACAATTTCCAAATCCTTCATATGCAAGGATCGTGTGGACTGTTCTAGAGGTCAGTCTTGAGAGACTTGTGAGGGAGGAAGTCAGATGTGAGGGACTTCCTGAAGAGGTGAATGGTGAAGGTAGGGTAGGCTTGAATAAACCGAGAGGAGTAGGGAAGTGAAAGGAGGAGATAACGAATTTTCTTCTCAGCAAATATCTATTAGAATAAAGCACAAATGAAGCAGTTAAGTTGTATGTATTAAAAGTAAAGATGTTGGGGGAAAGAGTGGTGAATAGATGGGAATGTGTTCTGTTGGACTGACTGAGAAATTGTATGACAAGGAAGAAGAAAGAAGAAAAGAAATTGCTAGGAGTTAAGGCTTTAAGCAGCTAAATGAAGCCGCATGAGAGAAAACCCTAAACATCTAGTTTGAGTACAAATGTGTGTCATTCCTTCATGCCTGTCTAACACTTGACACAGGGTAAACTTGTCTTGCACAAATGTCACATTTAAACTAATAAAGAAGCTGGTTTTATGATTAATTAGATGTGGAGTCAAAAATTCACAAGTATATAATAAATGAACAACTTGTTTCAATGAAAATGCCAACTGAGTGTCATGAGATAGTTGGGAAGAAGTTGTTATTTTAGAGGTAAGAAAATGAAATCATCTCTTTTTTCCCCTTTTAAGAAGTTTGACTCCTTATCTTTTTCAATACAGTGTACATTATTTATACCCTCTTTTCTTAGTTTCCCCCCAACCTCCATGTCATTCCTGTTTTATAACAGTGGCATTATGCAGTATTTGTCCTTTTATGACTGAGATATTTCACTCAGCATAATGTCCTCCAGGGTCACCCATTTTGTATATTTCATGAGTTCCTTGTTTTTCAGTGCTGTGTATTATCCCATTGTGTGAATATACCACAGCTTCTCTATCCGTTCCTTTGTTGATGGGCACTTGGATTGTTTCCATCTCTTTGCTATTGTGAACAATGAAACAATAAACGTGGGTGTGTATGTATCTGCTTGGATGGAAGTTATGGTCTCTTTAGGGTATATTCCCAGTAGTGGAATTGCTGGGTCAAATGGTATTTCTATTTCCAACTTTTTGGGATAGCACCATACAGCCTTCCATAGTGGTGACACCATTTTACACTCCCACCAACAGTGACTAAGGGTTCCAGTTCCTCCACAATCTCGCCAGCATTTGTTGTTTGCTGCTCTGTTGAATTTTGCTATTCTTACTGATATCGCATAGTTGAAGTCTTGGCATTATCAGAAGATGATGATAATGAAATCAGGGTAGAGAGACACTACAAAAAACCTAGGAAGCATGCCAAGAGAGTGTTAGTTGGGAACCAGTGATATGAAATCTATTGAAGGTTAAATTATCAAAAACCCAAACTCACTGCCAATTGAGTTAATCCTGACTTGTAGAACTTTCCACCAGGTTTCTACACCAGTAGATTCTGCCAAGCTTTCTCCTGTAGAGCTGGTGGGAAATCCAAAACAACTGGAAACACATGGTCCTTTGGCTAGCTGTGCTACACACTATGGACCAAAACTCCTTTGAGGGTAGGAGTACTTTATATAGGAATGAATAAATTGGGACTAGAATAATAGGATCAAGGTCCAAATCATAGAATTACCTGTAGTCAGGCTTGGAAGGGGTGAGTTTGTTAATGTAGAGAACAAACAGCATGATATCCATAGCATTATGTATATTATGTTGTTTTTGTTGATTGCCTTCGAATGGGGCACAACTCATAGTGACGCTATGAACAAAAGGTCTGAAGTCCCTCTACAACTAGCGACATTTATCAAAGTTCATAGGGTTTCCGGAGGCATGTTCTGAAGTGGACGCTACAAAGCCTATGATATTTTGGCATTCAAAGATTAAGAAGAGCTTGGCTCTCCAGTGGTGTTAAATTCAGGAGAGATGTCAGTCATGAGGAGTCAAAGAAAACGTGTTGAATTTCACTGTAATACCAACTGGCGATGTTAGGAGACACAGCTATGATGATGATAGCTAAAGATGTTAGTTATAACTTTACTAAAATACACAGGGGCTGGGGGAAGTAGCAGTATTATTCCTTATCAAATCTAGTGAGGCTGTAGTGTCACACACACACACACACACACACACACACACACTCATTGCCTATTGAATTGGAGTCAACTCAGACCTGACAAGTCGGTTTTCTGGGTCTGTAAATCACAAAGGAGGAGATCGTGCAGCTTTCTCCCACAAAGCTGCTGGTGAATTTGAACAGCCAGATAGGTGTTACTTTTTTTCTTTATTAATTTTAATGAAAAGTTTACAGAGACTTTAGATTTCCATTTGTTCATTGTTGCACCTTTCTCCCTCCCCACCCTTTCCCCTGGTTCTCTCTTCTCTTTGAAAAGTATAAGAAAAATTATTCCATTTGTTATACAATCCCTCCCCCCAAGTCCACTCCATTATGCAGCCTTCGTTCTGGATTCCTGTCATGACAATAATACCTAATCATATATCCCTTTTAAACAGTTCTTTCCCTCATCTGTTTCAAAACAGTATGTGTAATTTATCCCATCTTTTTCATTCTCCCCCTAACCCCGATTTCAGTCCTGTTTTACAACAGTGGCACCACGCAGTATTTGTCCTTTTGTGACTGAGATATTTTAATCAGCATAATATCCTCCAGGGTCACCCACTTTTAATAGTATTGCATGAGTTCCTTGTTTTTCAACGCAGCATAGTATTCCATTGTGTGAAAATACCACGGCTTCTCTATCCATTCATTTGTTGATGGGCACTTAGGTTGTTTCCAACGCTTTGCTATTGTGACCAAAGCCAAAATAAATATGGATGTGCCTTAGATGTTACTTTGGAGTTAGCACTGTACCTTCCTGTGGACTGAAGAAAATGGGAATCCCAGAACACTTGATAGTGCTTATATGAAACTTATAGTTGGATCAGGAAACATTCCTCAGAACAGAGCAGGGAAACCCTGCAAAATCAAAATCAGGTTCAAAATCAGGAAGAATGTACATCAAGCATGCATTCTATCTCCATAATTTTCAATCTATATGCAGAACAGATCATTCAGGAAGCAGGGCTTTAGGAGAAGGAATGTGGCATCAGGATTAGAGAAAGACT